TGATGTATGCAAACTATGTTAGAACTGGTTTATAAATGGTTCTTAATGATTAATAAAGTGTTTACAACCTAATTATAAAACCCTTTATGAATCCTTTATAAGGGTAGTCTTATTGTAAAGTGGTACCGGTTTTTGTGCATGTAAATGGTCTGTAAAGCCTAAAATCCCAAACTCCCTCCAGAAGGAGTTTCTCTCCCACACACCTTTATTAAAAACGAGGAAAGAGAGCCATCCTCACCTGAAGCTGGCCTTGATCTGGCTGCTGCTGTTGACATAACCTTTGTATTTCATGGATAAAGACAAGTCCCTCAGGTCATAAAGGCGGATGCGGGAATCGTTTGAGGTCACCAAAATCTGTCAAAGAGGGGAGGGAAGGTTAGTCATTTCAGAGGTCTGTTTAAAATGCCTAATCATAGGGACATCATGCATACATGTATGAAACATGTATCTGTAGTGCAGATCGTGTTACCTTGTTCTCTCCAGGTAGGGGCTCAATGCCGGTGATTTTGCGTCCTACTTTGTTCCTGCCTCTGGTGGACCTCACATGAATTTGAGTGTGGTATTTCAGACGCTAAGGAAGGGGAAAACAGAAAATGCATTTAACTGGGAATTAATACAAAACGTTTTGATGATATAGCAGTTAGCATTCGCAGGAAAGAGTATTTTGGCTGGGTACCTCCGTGTCATAGAAGATGCACCGGCCATCGTACGTTCCGATGACAGCGTACTTCCCATTTTGGCAGAAGTTAGCTGCCGTGATGAGGCGTGTTGTGCCGTCCACCTCGTTCCACAGCGCCACCTTCTTGTCAGGAATGTTCCAGAGTCGTAGCTTCCCATCCAGAGAGCCACTTAAAAAGTATCTATCGTCCTGGGAAACAAGAGGAAAGCGTCGTATATAAAATAAATAAATAAATACAGATGTGATTTATGATGAGGGAAGGTGACTCGACTTACTCTGGGGTGGAAAGCAATGGCTGTGACGAAATCAATGTGCTGAAAGCAGCAGAGACACTCTCTCCTCGATATGTGCCACAATCGCACCGTTTTATCCATGGAAGAGGAGAGCAGGAAGAAGTTCTAGATTGACACAAAAAAAAATTGTGAGACGAGATAAAACTATAATTGTTTTAATTCATCGTTTAATTGAAGAGGGACAGTGCACATTGATCAACATTTAAAAACAAATAATGCTTTAAAAACGTAAACATGCCGGATTTTAGCGTTGAGCTAATGTCCATCCGTAGTCCCGTCACATACAACATTTAAGAACATGACATTTATATACATAGCAAAAATAAATACATGATATGCAGGAAGAGCATGAGCAGCATACAAGCATTTACCACATGGCAGTACAATGTAGCAGCTATGGTATGTAAAGTGCAAGATAAGATAAAAGTGCTACATAAAGTGCGAGAGGAGATACCCCTGTGTTAAAGTGCATTTAGCGGTGATTACACGTCTGTTTGTTTCTCAATCATTCTTTGAGTTGTCCTTTGAAGCTATTGAGTGGGACAATCCCGTATCTCAGTTTAGAGGCTATTCCACAATGAACTGCCTTTAATGGAGAGGACATTTTGTCCAAAAGTGGTCCGTCTACAATGGACTCCTCTGGTTTCTGACCTAGTGCAACGTCCAGTGTGTTTTGTGGATGAATTCCCCTAAGGGGGGGGGGGGGGGGAGTCCATGTAAAAATTTACCCGAGATACGGTAAGTCAGAGGTCATGAACGTGGCTTTCAAAGTTGTCAAAACTCAAGAAATTGTGTTTTTCAAGGATGGTGCAGTGGTGGTATGAATGTGGCTTTCTGTCAAACACCTGGTTAGCTCTTTTGTACAGCTGCTCTATGGGTTCAGGTTTGTGGCTCAAGCAAACGACCAGTTTGTCAAACAGTATTCAATGTGGTACAGAATCATACAGTGGAGGTATGACTTTGCAGCACTGACAGTTCAGAAGGGTCTAATTTGTTGAAATAGTATTTGATACTTTTTTAATGTGTTCCTTAAAAGTCAAATTCGAGTCCATTATGACTCCAAGATACNAATTTAGGCAACAAATAGGCAACACCTCTACTTTCAACTGCAACTCTTGCAGCTGTTGCTCAGTAATGCTAGTTTAAAAAGGGGCCCCAAAAGTATATTAGGGCCCCTTTTTAAACTAGCATTACTGAGCAACAGCTGCAAGAGTTGCAGTTGAAAGTAGAGGTGTTGCCTATTTGTTGCCTAAATTCTCCTTTTCATGTTTTTTTACTGTCATCTCCAACTGTTAAACATGAACACTGACCTTTTACAGGAAAGAAAATCTGCCCTGCCACCATGAAGCACA